CTGTTTGATACTGGTTCTATACTAAGTCTCAGTTTGACACTGGTTCTATACTATGTCTCTGTTTGATAATTGATCTACATTAATTCTCATTTTGATACTAAAACTACATTTGGTCTCTATTTTATACTGATTCTATATTAAATCTCTTTTTTATACTTGGTCAGTACCTGGTCTATGTTTGAGACTGGGTCTGTATCAGGTCTATATTTGATACTTTATCCATATAAGGTATCTATTGGATATTTAATATATATATGGTAGCTATTTGATACTGGGTGAATGCTAGGTCTATGTTTGAGATCTGTATTAGTTTTATATTTGATACTTGACCTATAAAAGGTATCTATTTGATACTTGTCAATACTAGGTTTATGTTTGGGGCTGGATCTATATTGGGTCTATTTCTGATACTTGATCTGTATAAGGTATCTATTTGATACCTGTCAATACTAGGTCTATGTTTTGGACTGGATCTATATTATGTCTATTGTTGATAGTTAATCTGTATAAGGTATCTATTTGATACTTGTCAATACTAGGTCTATGTTTGGGACTGGACTATGTTTATTTGCTACAGGGACTAAATACTACCCCGGATAAATTCCAAAGAATCAGATCAGATCGTTACATCCGATAACCGTTCAAGAAGATTGATGTTGTCATTGGATTCGTCTCAACCGAATATTCGATATAGTCGTTATGTCAAAGTTGAACGTAATGTTAAACCGGTGAAAACCCCTTCTACTCCAGTGAGCTAACAGCTCTTATAGCACAATACGTACTGCAGTACATAAGTACTGATACGAGAGCCCTCATCGCCAAATGAACACCACACAAGATAACCCTATTTAACAAACCCGCAGACCTATCAAACATTATGGCCGAAATGTCACCACGCAGATCTAAACGTTTTACAGTGCAAATGTTCTTTTTGACAACAATTTTTAGAAGCCATGTACCAAAATGTAGATTTAGGATCGTGGGGGCAAATGAAGAGTGCTGTGTACACGCAGACTGATAAGGACACCCTCCTCGGACTGTACAACGGCGGGCTATTAGTTAACGCTGATGTAAGCGGCTGGTCGGCCGTGTTAGCGATATGCGACGTTTGTTGCGACGCTCTATGATTTAGCACATTTTGTCAAAGCTGACAGTTGTTGGTCCTTTAGAGTCATTGCTTATGCTAAATTATCCACAGGTCCTCCTGTAGGAATAGTTGTATGTATGTACGTTTTACTCTGCGATTCAATCAAAGAAATGGATACGGTGAGTACAACTTACTCAGTGTCTCTCGAAGGTAAACAACGAAGGTGGATTAAATCCGAGTGTACACAAGATTGAAACAATTTTTATTCGAGGAGCAAAATGACAACACTCGTGAGGCTATATTATTTTCTGTAGACATTTTTCACTTTTATATCTCCAAGATGCTTATCGTTTGAACATTGGCCTGGCTCTTATTTCTGTACTGTGCAGCAGTGCATAAACATTCAGTATCCATCTGTGCAGATACAGCATGCTGGCACCGGGTCAGTACAGCCACTCCGAGTCCTTGATGGGCGATTCTAACTGATATACACACGTAACCTTGACCTTCGGGTCAAGAGGGATGCTTTTCGTCGTGGTCCTATCTTCTGACTGGATACGAGTGAATTGCTTCCTTAAAGAGACCGAAGATGACGATAATAGCGGTTCATGGCACGACTAAGGGATGCACAATCTTTACATCTAGCTGCGACAACTTATATTACTGGATCACAAGGTTTTCTGGATTTCTGAAAATGGAGTTTGGTGTTTTTTTGGTAAATATTTTGTTCCTGAAAATACTGGGAAAGAAAAGGACATGCTGGGTGTCTCTTAGACTCTTAGACGCATATAAATTTCTTGGAATCAACGGTAGACATGTGGCTGCAGATCCCCATAAAGCACGGAATTTCATACCTACAGTGCGCTAACCGTGTGCTCATTAGGGCGAATTAAGAACTATTTGACACTGGAGTTTCGAAAATTGAAACACTCAAGAACATGATAACCTCGGGGAGGGCTATCTCCCAGACTTACAGGAAAACATATTCCCTGAGCCAATGTAAGCAAACATGGGTCGGTTGCTGCCATGAAATTGTAACCATGCCTTATCTGAATACGAAACGTACAGATAGTAGTTTAATGATAATAACAGTAGTGAAGGTGGATCGTAATTGGATTGGAAGGTGGACTGTGTTGTATGCTATGTCTCTGTTTGATACTGGTTCTATGCCATGTCTCTGTTTGGTACTTTTTCTATACTAAGTCTCTGTTACAGCATACTGGTTCTATACTAAGTCTGTTATAGAATACTTGTTCTATACTAAATCGCTGTTATAGCATAGTGGCTCTATGCAATGTCTCTGTTTGATACTGGTTCTATACTAAGTCTCTGTTTGATACTGGTTCTATACTAAGTCTCTGTTTGATTCTGGTTCTATACTAAGTCTCTCTGTGATACTTGGTCTATACTATGTCTCTGTTTGATACTGGATCTATACTAAGTCTCTGTTTGATACTGTGATTAAACTATGTCTGTGTTTGATACTGTGATTATACTTTGTCTCTGTTTGATACTGGTTCTATACTAAGTTCCTGTTTGATACTGATTCTATACTAAGTCTTAGTTTGATACTGGTTCTATACTGAGTCTCTGTTTGATACTTGGTCTATACTAAGTCTCTGTTTGAAACTGTGATTATACTAAGTCTATGTTTGATACTGGTTCTATACTAAGTCTCTGTTTGATACTGTGATTATACTAAGTCTCTGTTTGAAACTGGTTCTATACTAAGTCTCTGTTTGATACTGGTTCTATACTAAGTCTATGTTTGTTGCTTGGTCTATACTAAGTCTCTGTTTGATACTGGTTTTATATTATGTCTCTGTTTGATACTGTGATTATACTAAGTCTCTGTTTGATACTGATTCTGTTCTAAGTCTCTGTTTGATACTGGGTCTATACTAAGTCTCTGTTTGATACTGGTTCTATTCTAAGTCTCTGTTTGATACTTGGTCTATACTATGTCTCTGTTTGATACTGGTTCTATACTATGTCTCTGTTTGATACTGTGATTATACTAAGTCTCTTTTTGATACTGGTTCTATTTTAAGTCTCTGTTTGATACTGGGTCTATACTGAGTCTCTGTTTGATGCTGGTTCTATACTAGGTCTCTGTTTGATACTAGTTCTATTCTATGTCTCTCTATGATACTGGTTCTATTCTAAGTCTCTGTTTGATACTGTGGTTTTTCTATGTCTCTGTTTGATACTCGTTCTATACTAAGTCTCAGTTTGATACTCGTTCTATACTAAGTCTCTGTTTGATACTGGGTCTATACTAAGTCTCTGTTTGATACTGGTTCTATACTAAGTCTCTGTTTGATACTGGTTCTATACTAAGTCTCTGTTTGATACTGGTTCTATACTATGTCTCAGTTTGATACTGGGTCTATACTAAGTCTCTATTTGATACTGGTTCTATTCTAAGTCTCTGTTTGATACTGGGTCTATACTAAGTCTCAGTTTGATACTGGGTCTATAATAAGTCTCTGTTTGATACTGGTTCTATACTATGTCTATATTTGATAATGGGTCAATACTAGGTCCCTATTTGATGTAGGATCTATATACTGTCTCTCTTTGATATTGGATCTATATCAGTTCTCATTTTCATACTGGGTTTATACTAAGTCTCTGTTTGATACTGGTTCTATACTAAGTCTCTGTTTGATACTGGTTCTATACTAAGTCTCTGTTTGATACTGGTTCTATACTATGTCTATATTTGATAATGGGTCAATACTAGGTCCCTATTTGATGTAGGATATATATCAGTTCTCATTTTCATACTGGGTTTATACTAAGTCTCTGTTTGATACTGGTTCTATACTAAGTCTCTGTTTGATACTGGTTCTATACTAAGTCTCTGTTTGATACTGGTTCTATACTATGTCTATATTTGATAATGGGTCAATACTAGGTCCCTATTTGATGTAGGATATATATCAGTTCTCATTTTGATACTGAAATTACATTAGGTCTCTGTTTTATACTGATTATTTATTAAATCTCTTTTATACTTGGTCAGTACCTGATCTATCTATATTCTGTATTAGGTCTAGTTTGATACTGTATCTATACAAGGTATCTATTGGATACTTGTCAATACTGGGTCTATGTTTGGGACTGGATCTATATTAGGTCTATATTTGATACTTGATCTAATAAGGTATCTATTTGATACTGGGTAAATACTAGGTCTCTATTTGACACTGGACATATAGTGGGCCTCTAACTGATACCTTGTCTACTCTAGAGTTCTATTTAATGCTGGGGTTATCCAAGATAAAACAATTTATACTGGATCGACACAAGGTTGTTTTACGACATTGTGGTGTTTTATTTGCTATAGAGACTAAATACTACCCCGGATAAATTCCAAAGGACGACCAAAATCAGATCGTTACATCCGATAAACGTTCCAGAAGAATGATGTTGTCATTTGATTCGTCTCAACCGAATATTCGATATATTCGTTATGTCCAAATTGAACGTAATGTTAAACCGGTGAAAACCCCTTCTACTCCAGTGAGCTAACAGCTCTCATAGCACAGCGCACTAATCACAATACGTACTGCAGTACATAAGTACTGATACGAGAGCCCTCATCGCCAAATGAACACCACACAAGATAACCCTATTTAACAAACCCGCAGACCTATCAAACATTATGGCCGAAATGTCACCACGCAGATCTAAACGTTTTACAGTGCAAATGCTCTTTTTTACAACAATTGTTAGAAGCCATGTACCAAAATGTAGATTTAGGATCGTGGGGGCAAATGAAGAGTGCTGTGTACACGCAGACTGATGAGGAGACCCTCCTCGGACTGTACAACGGCGGGCTATTAGTTAACGCTGATGTAAGCGGCTGGTCGGCCGTGTTAGCGATATGCGACGTTTGTTGCGACGCTCTATGATTTAGCACATTTTGTCAAAGCTGACAGTTGTTGGTCCTTTAGAGTCACTGCTTATACTAAATTATCCACAGGTCCTCCTGTAGGAATAGATGTATGTATGTACGTTTTACTCTGCGATTCAATCAAAGAAATGGATACGGTGAGTACAACTTACTCAGTGTCTCTCGAAGGTAAACAACGAAGGTGGATTAAATCCGAGTGTACACAAGATTGAAACAATTTTTATTCGAGGAGCAAAATGACAACACTCGTGAGGCTATATTATTTTCTGTAGACATTTTTCACTTTTATATCTCCAAGTTGCTTATCTTTTGAGCATTGGCCTGGCTCTTTTCCATGCTGATAAGTGAGGGTATCTTTTTACCTCTTTCAGTCGACCCCTTATGCCATGCGCACGCGACTGGGATTCCATAGCAGACGACACACAGCGGATGTATACTGAGAAAGTGAACTGGCTACAAGTCTTCAAGGATTGAAACGGGCGCAGGAGTTATGAAATTTGCTGTGAGCATTGGATGTGAGAAAAAGATCTGGGAGAGATTTCTTTTGATGTAAACAAAGTGAATATATATTCTGTGTGTTCGAAATGTTATTGAATTTGGACAGAAATTTATTTTTGAAAGTGGTCACATGACGCCATGTGTTGACGAGACGATGGATGTCGGTGCTATATAATATAGGGATTGATATCACTCGAGCAATGGGAAATGGTCGCTGGGAGTGCAAGCCCTGGCCAGCTTAGCAACGTGCTTCTCAAGGAAATATTGGAATTGCCTAACTCTGTTTTATTTATTGGGAAAAGTGGATTGGTGCAATAAACGTGAATACTATAATTCATTCTTTGGGTGGATTATTACCTACCATCCCTGTGTGGAGTATGGGAGTTATAAGAAACACATATGAAGAGGAGTCGGACACAGGAAACCATGTGAAAGAGCCTTACAATAGTGATTGTATTATACCAATGGATAGTGTATACGACCGACTACAACCCCCACCCTCACCGTGTGGGTGTGGCACCAGGCCAACGCCAACTTGTGATAGGGAGTCTTCTCCGGCCCGGAGCAATTCATGGTGAGTACGTTTTGGTTAAATATGCTTCTAGTCTTAGCGATTATTTATACTTTCATTCCTCTATTTTGCCGTACGTTTTTCATTCATTTTTTAAATTGAATTTTTAATCCAAATATTATTCTTTATTTAAGTTGTAGAATTTTGTATATGTTAATAAGGGACATTGGTTATCGTTCCTATTTGCTTATTCATCATATATTATATTACAACCATGTTTTATTATTTGTTCATTTAAGCATTAACTTGCTCCATCCCGTCGATGACAGTGACCTAGTCAGGTGAAATCTTACCCATGCGTCAGCCGCTAGTGCAACAGTTATGACGAATTGGACATATTCACAGGCATACGCTTACATACACTGCTTATCGACAACAGCGTAGTCCATCTAGTTTATACACAGACTCGTATTAAATACACTAGTAATAGTTGTGACAGCTTAGACATATTTCCAGACGTACCGTTTAATAGTCAGGGAGTCGTATTTCATAGCCTACACATCAATAGCAAGGTAGTCGAGGCGTTCCATCGGCTGATTTAGTGTTAATTGCGTGGGGTAAGGTGTTTATTTCGCATGTTCTGTACTTATTACAAAATATGCATCAAGATTATCATTATCAGTTGAGATTGCGTATAATGTATAGAAACTCGACAACGGTCGGCTGGTCAGTATTCAGAGGGAAATATATGTTAATTTCTATGGGGTAGGAGTATCACAATGAAGTTTGATAGGTGTTCTGCGTTACATGCCTATTTACATGTAATGTATATATTCATTACGGAGCAAAGCCTGTCAGTTGCAGGAACGTTCACCAACTTCGCATCAATACCACACTGAGAAAATGCTGATGTCATGATTATAACAAACTCTAAACAACATATGCATACATTTACACCCGCATCGCAGATCGGTTTTCGTATTGCATACACAGCCTTGTCAATAGCAGAGATGTTGAGGCATTTCATCGGCACATCCCATGTTAATTACACGGGGATAAGCGTTGTTAGCATCGAGTCGTACAGATAGGTTAAACATGTTGCCCACTGTGATTGCTCGCTGGATAGATCTGTTTTGTACATCATCGCCTGGTAATGCAGTAAACTGTAACAATGCACTCTCATCGGGCCGGGTTCAAAGGATGAGCAGTACGTGTATGCCAAGTGGAGAGGCGTATTTCACCCCGTTATGCGAGTGTGGCGCGAACCACGGCCTCTCTAGCATCAAGGCGGTTGTCACTTTCATATTTACCATGTACTCGTCATTACGTCAAGATCGCTTTGTAGAGCGCGACCCGGAGATGGGGAATATTGTATAAGGTATGCTTTTGCAAGACAACCGATACAAAAGGTTTTGGGCCGTAAACCGCTGTGGTTATAACATTACATGTAGTTAAGGCGCGAGATCTGTGAGTGAATGAGCGCGTTTATCACCGCAGCTAGTGATACTCCGGCCATATGGTGACGGCCTGTGACTAGTCGAGTCTCGACCAGCCAAACCAGTGGCTGAAGTCATGAGCAACGCAGTCAGGCAAGTCATCGAGCCGTTCGCCTGGCCGCCATACAAACATGAGTTATTATATTGGGAATATGTTCTGGTCCTGAGTTTCCGTGGGGGTCCTTAAGCTTGTTTGTACATTTTGATATATACTTTTTTACAAGAGCAAAGTCCTGTAATTGACACACCATCCTCTGATCGACGTGAGACTGAAGTTACAATTATCCTTATATTTTTACACACGGGTGATATTTACTTTCCACATATATCTCTAACGAAGAAAATAACATTTGTAAATATAATTTAAAGCATTTAAAGCTTGCTCTTTAAACACGTAGATCCTCTACTGAACAGTTCAATCAAAAGTAAGTTACGCAGTGCGTGATTTGATAACGTGAGTATATGTAACAGGTACTGTTATTGACATGATCAGTGCTTAAAAAGCTCAGCACTGCGTAAGTGTTTGACATTCCGCTTTGAGTATTTGCTGTTTTTCTCAGAGATCTGAAGTCGGCATACTTATAACACATAAACATAACAAAGTGTTTTGCTGGAACACTAATAACCACTCGACGTCAAGAGGTCAATTTGAAGGAATAGCGTACGTACTCGGAAATCATGCCTCTTATACACACAGTTTCTTATGCTAATTGTGATGTTTAAAGGTTTGGTGTATTTACGCGTTACGACTGAGTTGATAACAAGTCTGTATTTCCTTCTGTAGTCATAGGGAGTGGCACGGGGAGGTTTATAGAAAAATATTTAAAAGTTGCACGAGTTGATAGAAATTAGTCATTTATTAATGTTGTCAATATGCTGCATTTGACATTACCATTATCCAAAATGGCCGCATGTAATGTTGAATCCATACAGCAAAACCTCGTTAATCGCATTTATCTTTATTTTAGGTTTTTGTGAGCCGCATTGAACAGTATTTCTGTTCTAGCGCGTCAGTTTGACGTGGACGGAAAGCGCGAAGTCATACGGGACCAAACCTTAGATCATTGAAAGAAAAAATACATTTTACACTTGTCCTTAGTCTTATAATCAGACACCTAACCATGGTAACAGTTTTATTGGAACACAGTCCGGATAAATAAGGTCTCGATGTAAAGGAAACCTCATTCGGTGGAAACCCCTGTCTTACGGAGGATGACTGAAGGGAACACCTCAACATGGACACACTGACATTACTCCGTATTTATGAATCGTTAATTGTCCGGATTAACAAATCTCCAGATTAACGATTCGTAATAACGGATTATTTTCAGCTTTACTCCTGATTAACGGGCTTTCACTGATTAGAAAAACGAGGTCAACAATCGCACTTAAAAACTCACTCACGCTCCATTTTCTAAGAAAATAATGCGTCACGTGAGAAAATACGTATATCTAAATCTATTAGACGTGTATAGCAGGTTAGCCATTACCCAAGTCACACTGACAATGTTAACAAGTGATGCTAGTATTTACGTGAACAAGAAGAACAGCTACTCCAGTTTGGGGAAGAACAGAACAGGTGAACGAAGATCTTTATTCCCTCATCTTGTTTATTGATTACAATACTGCATGATGTTTCAGAAAGAGTTATTAAGACAACATTGCGATAGCAGAGAACTTAAACATTGTTTAACTGATACGACGTCAGAGATGGCCGCGTATATCATGTTTTATGCTTTATCCACTAAGCACGTGTCACAATTTAGCGGCACCATCGTACGTTGCTCGGTTTGAAACGTAAATCTTTCACAAACACCCTCTCAACCGAAGATACATTTTCAAAAGAGGACGCCCACATCGTAGATGAGGTAACTGCTAGAACGGCTACAGCGACCGCGTGTTTGCGTGTATTTAGACCGCGAGGCATCCGGCCAGACGATACGAAACTCTACACAATTGTTATCGAACAAATGATAAGTACTCGTCATCTAAATATGATATGCCATTTGAAAGGGTTATTAGCACGAGGCCTCTGTATTCTCGTGGGTGAGCGAGGTACAGGGAGGCGAGGGAAAGACAGTGTGGAGTTCAGGGGAGTAGTTTCGCTTGTTATGCGGTGTGTTTGTATGTAGGCTATCTGGGTTGGTCTGTGGTTTTCGACTTAACACCCACTTAGACTATGTTTTGGGAGTGATAGAGGAAAATGAATATGATTGCGAGTTGAATACAGTGAAATCTCTATAGCTCTAGGTGATTTGGTTGATTTCAGTGAACCCTTGAACGTGAATCGAGTAATCCGCTGTTCGAGACAACCGGAGTGTCGAAATAAGACAAAAGTGATGATATTCTGGAGTTATACAGAATGTATAAGTTGATTCATACAACTTTCAGTGGAAACTCGTTAACTCGAAGTCCAACAACCATCGACAATATCTCGAGTTATCCGTTGTAAAGAGTTTACCGATACTATAAAGTTAAATCGACATAAAAAACGACATACCGAGTAAATTGAATTCAAGTTTTCATTATAGTGTTTTCATTGGCTAGAATATTGCGTGAACGAGACACAAGGATTTAGGACTGTCTCATAGAATCTCAGCAAGTTGGATGAATTTAGACGCCCCGTGGACGTCGTTCTTAGTATACAAGACGGATTCTAAAATAAAACAAATCACATGTAAGATTCCCGGGTAGAATAGGTCTTCAGCAACCCGTGCTTGCCATAAAAGCGACTATGCTTGTCGTAAGAGGCGACTAAAGGGATCGGGTGGTCAGGCTCGCTGACTTGGTTGATGCATGTCATCGTATCCCAATTGCGTGGATCGATGCTCATGATGTCAATCATTGGATTGTCTGGTCCAGACTCGATTATTTACAGACCACCGTCTTATAGATGATATTGCTGAGTGCGGCGTTAAACAAAAAACAAACCTACAAAACAAAGTTATATGGACATGGTCAGAAAGCGGACTTGTAAACAGAAAACCAAAGGCCAATGTGGAATGGTCCATGATACACATTTAGGGGTAGCAGTTCGCGGACCTTTCAAATAAATGACTCAACTTTTAATGGGAATATTCCTATCGTTCCACGATACACCATTACCATTCCTTATGAGAGACCCATGTGGAGTCTGGGTCATACTAAGTCGTTAGAGCCGATTCAAGAGGATTAGGTGTCTACAATGTATGGTTGCGTGTCATCGTGCCCCGACTGTGTGGATCCCTGCTCGTTCACTGTCAACCATTGGTTTGTCTGATCCAGCCTCGATTATTTACAGACCGCTGTGGTAAAGCGGGTATATTGCTAAGTTGGGTTTGAAAAATATTTCAATCATTCCCTTATATTATGTATATGTAAAAACTTAAGTCTCCTATCAAATGTATGAGAGGACACAGGTGGCCAAATAGTCTAAGGCGAGGTAATTCGTTTTGCCGAGATGCGTCCACTAGGCGTGCCAGGATCCTGTGAGCATGGGTTCGAAACCTAGTCGGTTTAGTTTTAATCATGGCTATACGTAGATAATGACCTCAAAAGATTTGTGAATACAATATTTAAAAACGAAAG